AGGCTCCGGGTGCTCGGGGGAGCCAGGCCTGCCCGCGACACCTCCTCGGATGGGATCCACCTGCTCGGCAGATGCCGGGGGGACCGAGCCCGGGCTCTCCCGGAGCCCCCCATCCCGGCCCAGCTCCTGGAAGCCCCGCTCGTCTCGGCGCTTGGCGGCCCGGGATCCCGTCCCTCCCGCCGAGGACTGCACTCCTATGAAGGGCTCGCAGCACGCTCAGACATACTGACGGGGGTTTAGGGCGCCCGGAAAAGAATTAAATTAGGCATTTCACCCTCTCCTTTAAGTCAGTCAGCCCCCCTCCAGGCACGACCTGCCTGGGTCACGTCTCCTCCCCGCTGTGGTCACGAATCCCTGGAATGGGAAAGAGAAGAGGGAGACGGATTCTGCCTTGAAAAGAAACTTAAGGGGAGTCTGAAACTTGCCTCACCTCCACCCTCATACCCGAGAAAGTTCAGCCTGGTTCAGCCCCTGAACAACCGTCTTACCCCGAGGTCTCCCGTGTCTGAGACCTTCCTCTCATTTTCTTCGTCTTTTAAGGGATGAATATTAGTTTGGGAATCCGGAGCTAGTGCCTATGAGGCCAGCCATGTAATCTGACTGCGAACGTAGCGCACCCCTCCCTCCGAGAGAGGCTGCCTCTCAGTGCGCTTGGAGCAGATCGGGGATTTCTGGGAAGGAAGCCCCTGCCAGATTTTCTCCATGTAGACGCCAAGAGGACAGCGAGAGCAGCCTGTCAAGACCCTGGGCAGGAAAAGTTCCAGAGAGGGGCTTCGGGAGGTGTTCCCGGGGCAGGCCGGGCTGGAGCTCAGCGGCCGCGGCCGGGCTAGGAGAGGCCGGGGGTTGTGCGGGAGACACCCCAGAGAAATGGCCACGGCGACGAGTGGGAGAATGATGCGAAAATTTAGGGAGAAGAGGAAAATTCTGGGCAATCCCATCCCGAGTCCCCTTGGTTTTTGTTCTGACTGTCCCCGGCCTGTTTTATCTCTGACAAAATCCAGAGATAGCTTGTGCTCTCTCCAGGCTCTGCTTGGGATTTTTCTGCGTGTGTGTATCCCCGCGCACACGCACACACACACACGCAGGTATGTGCATGTGTGTACAGAGCACAGAGAGCGTGCAGGATTTGGGGCTGCACAGGGACCTCCAGGGTGCTGCGGCCGAGGTCACCCGCGCTCCCGAACGAAATGGGACTTTGCCGTGGAGAGCTCCTCGCTGCAGCTGTAGCCTCCTCCGCTCGGCTCCAGAGCAACGGGACGCCCCTTCGGAAAGGGATTTTAGGCTGGAGGATATTTCCTCGGCGGTAAAGACGGTCGAGGGAAATTTACCGAGCGTTTTGGAGGGTTATTCCCCCTCTGCATGTGTGAGGTTTCTTTTCAAACGGATATAATTTCTCCCTCCCCAACTGCTAAATTGCTTGATACAGTTTTCAAAGGAGCCCCGTGATTATGTCAGGATGTCTGGAAAAAAAAAAAAGAAGTAAAAAAAAAAGAGTTGAAGTTTTTCCAGTTCAGATTCATTCTTCAGTCCCGGAGAAGTGTAAATACGCAGATGCAGAACACGGCTCTTCCTAGGAGAAGAGTAAGTTTCTCTTGTCTTTTTTCATTTTCAGTGTTCTGGAACCAAGAGCCCAGTCGAAATCAGCACTTCAAACACCCGTCGTATTTAGGGCACTTTCTCAGCCTTGCTCGTGTCCATAACCCCCGAGCTTTGCAAGAAGAGCCGTAGTTACTGCCGGTTGAGGGGAAAAAAGTTTCGCGGAGAAAGGGTGAGGGGACTTAAAAAGTTAAGATATTAGCAATTCACGAGGGAAACGAGTGGGGCTACAGACAAATCCTTCTCTCCCTTGCTCGACACTCTCAGCTCAGTGGGGTCGGAGCTCTGCGCCCCGGGTGTCTTCGGGTTGCAGAGGTTTTTCCAAACGTGTGAGACCTGAGAGAATGGCACTTCGCTGCAAAATCTGTCCAAAGACTTGAGTTACGCCGTATAAAGCTCTCTCTCACTCTACTCTGCTCTCGTATGCACGTGTGGGTACGGATGTCTATACGTACAGCCGCCCCACGCCTGGAGATCAGATTTACATTTCCTACATGAAGTGAACTTCTCCCCCCACAAAGTGCACACAGCGCGGGGTACACAAAGGGAAACACGGCCCCGAACAAAGGCGCAAGAACAGCCGCATCCTTGCGTGCCCAACGCTGTTTTGTCACTTATATTTAGCCCGTCGATTTGGTATTTTGTTAAAAATATCGGCAAGCTGCGAACAGATGCTTTTAGTAGAAAGCGGGGAACGCGAATAGAATTCATCTCGCCCTTTAGTGGAAACAAGCGAGGACCGTTCAGGCGGCGATTTATTTTTTAGCATATTTTAATGCGGCGAAGTAACGGATTCTTTGTGTATAAAGTGGAAAGAAAATAGAAAACAAGGTCCGGGAACGAAGGAAAGAAACGCTAGACTGGTTTTAAGACTCCCCCCATCCCTTGGTTCAACAGAAACATTAATTTACATTAGCAATTCCGCATCTTTAAGATAAATTACACAGCGGCGTAATAGATTTAAAGCACGCCAGATTTTTTTTATCATTAATTGTAAATGTGCAAAATACCTGCTGGTACTTCACTTTAGAAGAATGTAATTGGCAAAAATGGGAGGCTGATGAATAGATAATAGATCCTTAACTACCAATAAACAGTAAGCACCAGCCAAGAGTATTAGGATGTGATCATAATTATTCTGCAGCCCCAGCCAATGAGAGGAGGAGAACTCAGCCCTAAAATCATCTCCGGACCCAAAGGTAAACGCGAAAATACGGACAAGGCTGGAACCGGAGACGTGATCCCCTGTCCCGTCTGCGAGCGCCCGGCGTGTCCCGGCCCTGCACGATGCAGCCGCGCTGCGCTTTGTGCTCCGCGCCGCGCGGGGCGGGCAGCGCGGGGCAGCCCGGGGGGAGGAAATAAGTTCGGAGGAGGAGGACGACGACCCGTTTTCTCACCGGGACGAAATCTTTCCCAAGCGGGGCATCTCTCCCTGACGCCCCGGGGCGGATCAAGGTAACCTGGCCGGGCCGAGAGCCCCCGAGAGGCGGCAGGGAGAGGGGTGTCACGCTGGCCGAGGAGCCCAAACCCCCCC